ATAAAACAGACTCAAGCAGCCCATGTGGCTCAGTTATGTGATTATCCAAGGCAAGCCTACACAGCTCCTCTGCCCCTCTCCAGTGCAAAATTTAAAGACTTATCAAAGTTGAAAGATTTTGTGAGTGAGCGAAATAAACCGTTCTTCGAGCAACTGCCTCAAGATGACCTCAGCAGCCAGGAATCAGACCAAGAGGAAAGATCAGACTCTGACTCAGAATCATCAGAATCTTAACAGACTGACAGAAGTTCTGTGTTTGCTTGCATAAGAAAAAGTCTTAATAAATAGTGTGTGCTTTGAATGTCTTTACTATTTGAATTATTTAAGTGTGCAGGATTGCCAGGGAAAAACAACTGATGTCCAAAATGGATGTCTTGGTTATAAATGCATATTGTGAAGATGTATGTTGGCTCAGTAACTAAATCATTACATCTATATATCAGGGATTGAATCCATTTTCATTAAAAAATTATTTCAAATAGAAATCTTTAAAATCAAATGCTCCTGAAGTCTTCAAACACAAAATTTCATTTATCTCAAAAATAGAAAAAGTGGACAACTGTGGGTTTTCCCCTGTAGTCTTCATATATTATGTGACGGCACCAACTAGCACTTGAGCAAAACACACACACACATATACCTTACTCATTATGTCACCAAGGACGCCAAAAAAAAAAAAAGTAAAAGATTTTTAAGTGCATTTCTTACGAACTTAATTGACTGAGCCGAGGTGTTTCTGAAAGGTGGAAAAAAGCATTTTACATGGCGCAGAACCTGGCTGTTACAGGTACGACATGCCATGTCACGTTATTGATGTGCAGGGGAAAAGGCAGAACCTCCCTCAAGTGTTGATGGGAAATGTATTTTTTAAATAATCCCTCTTACATAATACTACTATGTTGGGCCGCATTATGTGGCGTGGTAAAGTGGAAAAAAACCATACGATTATGACATACGCTCTTGGTTTTGGTGGGGGGGGGTGGGGTGGGTGGGCTGAGGTAGAGTAAGCACCACTACGTTAGTGCAAATGATGAATTCCTGAATATGGAGGAATCAAAAGATCTAACGAAAATTCGTAAAATACCGCCAGCTACAATCCTTAGACCACAGTATATAGAGCTTCAAGTCTTTCTCAGCTTCTTGTCGTTATCTCCTTATCCTCGTACACCTCTCTATTCAATGCTCTCTCTTTCTCCCTCTCTCCTTCCCTCCCCCCTCTCTCCCCCCCTCCCCCTCTATCTCTTTGTCTCTCTAATTTAATTTTAAATATGCAGTAACATTAAATAAATGAAATGGTTCTCGAAGTAAATTCTATTGATTGAAAACAATTTTAAAATAAATACATATTTACTTGAGTGCCCTCTATTGAAAGGAGGGATCTGAGTAGCAGAAACGGTGTACTGAAGCCAAACAAATGCCCTCTATTGAAAGGAGGGATCTGAGTAGCAGAAACGGTGTACTGAAGCCAAACAAATGCCCTCTATTGAAAGGAGGGATCTGAGTAGCAGAAACGGTGTACTGAAGCCAAACAAATGCCCTCTATTGAAAGGAGGGATCTGAGTAGCAGAAACGGTGTACTGAAGCCAAACAAATGCCCTCTATTGAAAGGAGGGATCTGAGTAGCAGAAACGGTGTACTGAAGCCAAACAAATGCCCTCTATTGAAAGGAGGGATCTGAGTAGCAGAAACGGTGTACTGAAGCCAAACAAATGCCCTCTATTGAAAGGAGGGATCTGAGTAGCAGAAACGGTGTACTGAAGCCAAACAAATGCCCTCTATTGAAAGGAGGGATCTGAGTAGCAGAAACGGTGTACTGAAGCCAAACAAAAAAAAAGAGAAGAACAAAAAAGAAAGACAGACAAAAAAAAAAAGAAAAGACAGAAAGCATACCCGTATGCAGGACAGTTGAAAACTCGACTTGGTGCGAAACGAATATGTCACATTCTTTCAATTACCTTTCATACACCTTATCTTCTTTCTCATTAACTGCCCAAAACTCGATTTATTAATTTATTTAACATTTTAAATAAAAACGATTTAACCATTTTATATTTGGCATATTTATTTTTTTTTTAAAACTCAACCACTTTTTATAATTATCATTAGAAATGATTTTTTAAAAAAAAATAATCATACATTATACTTGTGTTTTTTTTCCCCAGTGCAAAACAAAAAGTTAAAGGTATCTATTTATAGTGAATCTGTAACTAAATGTGAACGCACGCGTATGTGTTTACTTTTTTCCCCAGGGCGTACACATCGAGTCTGAGAGAAGTCAAAAGGCAAGGCGTTTATCAACCTGTTGGAAACCGTCGTTCCTCTTGTGGAAAAAGGGTCACAACAGACGAACAATAGTTATCAAGGATTTTTGCAAAGTCTAAAATCACATACCGGGTACCGGACACATTGTCTTTTTTTTTTTTTTTTTTTTTTTTTTACTTTGCGTCACCGCTAGACTCAACATGTGTGGGAAGTCTGATGGAACGGCTCACAGAGTGTCTGTTGCATATTCAGAGCTCGCTAAACATGCTTTTTAAAAACCTTTGAACACATCAAAACCAAGCGCAGGCCCCGGTCGTAAACACAGGCGCGAGAAATCCTTCACAATGAATCGTTTTGGAAGTGACGGAGAGGCAGCCCCAAGCATCAAAAGGAACCCAGGGTGTTCAGACGGGAAGCTGAAGCAAGGGCACGATGACGGTGCCGGGATGATGCCAGAGGAACCACGCAAGTCACGTGGGAAACGAGATGGTGAGCAGGGTCGGGGGAATCTGCTTAAAGGCATACGATCCTCTAAAGGTCATCCTGGTTATCGCGACAGCCCACTGGTTGTCTCATCTAGCAAGAGGGATAGCAAGGGGAGTGTTGGCCATTTGAGGTCCTCGGGCAGGGTGGGGTGTGTGGGTTACAACGGCCACGACATCTCTAGAAATTCCAATGTGCTGAGTAGATTATTTTCCTGGCTTAGAAAGCGGCGAAAATCAAAGAAAGGGGATACGTCAGAATTGGACATGATGAGGAAAGCGGACTTGGAAAAACGTTGGTCTGCTTTTAGCCTTGAAGACAAATACTACGCCAAGTCGCAGCTGTCTATTTGGTTTCCTTGTATCTTCCGGCATCCAACGCTGAGTGAGCTGGAGGCAGCCCTGGCACTCATGGGCAATCGAATCCTAGATAAAGTTTCAAGGTTTCAAATCATCGATTTGAACCCCAACCTTACACTTTCGCGAGCAGCACGCAATCATTTCAGGAGTTGTCACCAACAATGCGAGAGGGATGAGTTCGACGGCGAACTGATAGGCGCATTAATCTGCGAACGAAAATCCTCGACAGATTCTTCAGACAGAACAAGACCGATTCGTTTTCCGCCTGACCACTCCTTCGGGAGCTTGAAATCTGACAAAATTTTATCTCAGTTGACACTGATTACCTCCAAAATAGATGGTCTAAGCACCAATACATCGAAAAATTCATTTTTAAACGCAGAGAGGAACTGGAGGCACTGTGCAATGGCGGGTCGTGCCGAGCCGCCCGCTGAAGTGTCGCCAGCGCAGTCTGAGGGAGACATCTCGGAATTGAGTGCAGCCAAACTAGAGAAGATGTATGACAGAAAAAAGTACCACGTCCCAGACTGGTTTTATCTGCTCGTGCAAAATGGTCGCGCCATCGAACTTCTTCCCGCCAACACGGATGATTTGGAAATCACTTCGGGTGAGGTCAAGGACTTAGTTGAAAGTTCACGCCGGATTTCCCTCCACATGGTACCCAACTGTGTATCCTTCGATGACAGTGGTCATATTTTTGTTTCTATTACCGAGCAAGAACGCAGACGTCCGGTGCGTACTGTCCCAAGAAAAGTACCGCCACTGCGTGGAATCTGCCGAAGAGATTCGTCTCAGACGTCTTTGATTGGCGTTGATCCAACCCCGACATGTTCATCGCCATCCATCGATGTGTCCTCTAATAAGATGGAAAGTGGGTCAAGACACGATCACTCGTTTGAAGAGCTGTTTCCACAGGATCGTGTTCTCAGCTTCAGGCACAACTGGGCACTGGTAGACCAGTCCATCTATAACCAGCAAGGGTTGATTCGCCTACGCAAGAAAAAAGGCCACAAGAAACTCGACCCATTGCCTAAAACAGGGCACATGGGCAAGTCTGAAGTTAACCCCAGCCCTATGAACGTCTCCAGAAATACGGGCAGTCACCCGTTTAAAGGGACTTTTCCTAAGCGTTTAGAATCTGACGGCGGGAAAGAAGAGCTGAATTCTGCAAATGTTAAAAAATGTCGTCAGCATAAACAAATGATTTCCAGGATTCTCAAGTTGATGAAGGAAAGGTCACTGTCGGACAAATCAAGCGGAGGAGGTGATGAACCCCACAAACCTGTTGACTCTCCAGTTGCTAGTGACATAATCGCCGATAAGTCGTCCATTATGGACACAAACGATTGTCGGAGACATCATAAGTCGAAACTGACAAGATGTCAGAAAAATGTGCGATTCGCTGACACGATCAAGCAAAGAGATAAAGTGACCTCCCCTGGCAGCAGAGCGAGAACGGAAGTCAATAAGAGCAACTCTGCCATCGACGATGCAGACAAGTTAGGCGTGACAAGTAGCTCGTCCTTTGGAATAGCTGAAACCATTTTGGATAAAAATTACTCTTCACTACACGAAGAATACTTCCACCCCGAGCGTTGCCGTAGATACGACGTCGACTACTTAACGAGGTCAATAGAAATGAACAATGTGTCCGAAGTGGATCAAAACCATGACGTTTGCAACAATTCTATCTTTTGGGCGGACTCAGATCCGAAAAATCTGCGCCGTTTGCGTAAACCAGATGTCTGCGATCTGAGTCGCCTTGGTTTAAGGGCCGACGAGAGCGCTAACTTCATCTTGGGTGAAGAGGTGGCCACACTGATAAATACCCAGTGCAAGAGAAAAACACATACGCGCGGGGATACGAAAACTTATAAGTTGTGTAATTTGGGTGATATGAGCACGAACGATGAACATTATAAAACCGGAGAGGATTTGATCGGAATTCCCAATGCTGTGCAAGGTTCTAGCTCAAACTCCAGCTCAACAACCTCGGGGAGCAAAGTTGGTGTTAATCAGTGTCGTCGTTGTGGAAAACAGGCCTTCAGGGACTACGCTCGCGGGACGTTCGCCAAGTTTGTAAAAGAACAATGGCATTCAGAGGGCACGTGCGAGCCTCTCTGCGCGCCTAAGTTAGGATCCAGTCACAAACTGCAACCAGCGATCTCGAGAAACCAGGCTACAAATGCCGAAGCTGGAAAATACCCCCCTGAGTTGTCGCCTTTAACACGCGAGAAACGACCGAGTTGTTCAAAGGCAAGGCCAGATGCACGCAAGACTAAACGGACCGAGGATACATTGGAGCTCGTTGAACTCCAACAGAAAGACTATGAGATTGCCTGCGCCAACAGAAGACTAGGGTATAATTATATATGCACGATCGTGGATGATTACTACAAGTCATTTGTTTCTGGAGATGATGAGACCACAGGGGTGGCTCAAAGGCCGTACCGAGGTTCTGAAATATCCCGTCTCATCGACGCGAAATCAAAACACGGCGGTCGATGCTCATCTTCTAAAACTGGAGGGGTACGAAAAATGGTGGTAAAATCCACGGCGACACCGGATGACAACAAATCACTGGCTTTGTTGATCGATCGTTACCTTGCCGCGGACGATCACAAAGTCGTGGACATCACCCAACCACTGAAGGATTTGGATTCTCTGCTGGAGTATTGCTCCAGGATGACGTCTGCAGACTGCCTGCTGGGAGACTCGACGCTCAACATCCTTCGGGCCATCAATGACATCATAACACGATTCATTACGATTGAAGATGAGAAATTAGCGCTGCGTGTCAAAGACAACTTTGCCGGGGAGATGACGACGGTCGAAACGAATCAAAAGTCGTGCTCACTGCAGCAGTTGTACAGACCTTACAAGGTCCCCTGCCGTAAAGGGATGGATGTCGCCACGCAGACCTATTCAAAATCAATACACGATTGCGGGAAAGCATCGTTCGCGTGCTGCAGATGTATGCTACCAACAGATTGGGTGGAACATTCAATCAAAGCTAAACATGGCAGTGAGCACGCGGCCGACCCGTTCCAGTCATGCGAGACCCATGAATCGACACGAAGTGCCATTCATCACCTCGACGAAACACAGAATAAACTGGATAGCGAAACCGACTACCCGTCTGCTGGTAGAATTCTGACATCAGATGAACCAGCTGCAGAAGCTGGCGCGGTGACTGCAACAGAGAGTGTCCGCTCCGCGGCACACGCCAGACTGTTAAGTGGAGAGCTGGAAAGGCTTCTTACTCACGCTCGAAGACAATCAGCTGAAGGAGCTGATGAGTACGCCGATACCTTGATGTACCCGGCTCAGAAAAGTGCTGCTCTCCATTCGAGGAATTCCCCAGAACAACTGGAACCAGCCTTTTTTTTATCACAGAGACTTGCGTCGGTTGGGACCATGGCGGGTGGGTCGGGTGCTTCGCCCGCACAGGATCGTGGTGCATTTCCGAGAACACGAAGGGATCCCAAACCACTGGAAATTATCCTCACGCCCGCTTCTCCACCAAACCTCTCTGATAATCATGGAAGTTTGGCGTCCAATGAGAACGGGGCCGACTTCCCCAAGCAGGCAGAGGATGTACTGTCCCGCTATTACTCGAGTCTAATTAACGGAACTGAAAAATTACGCCCGCCATCTGCTTTCCCCGAAACCGTGCAAGAGCACGCATTCCGCTACGGAGAGCAGAGGCGCTCTTCATATCATGACGGAGCCATCAGTCAAAACTTGCGCCCGGAGAAGTCAGTACGCATGAAAGATGATAATTATATACTACCAGACCGAGAATCGGCGGGCATACAGACCAGCAAAATCTTTAACGTGGAGTCCGCTTTCAGCCCCAACATACGATTGTCCTTTGAGAAATCCCCAAAGCATACTGAGTCATTCGCCGCGCAGACGGATCCCAATGTGTCCTGCAACAGGACCAACTGCCATATTCAGGTCTGCCCGGGAGACTGCTTAACACAGGCTTGCCCGACCAGATGTCTGTCTCACCCGTTCACATCAAGTTGCAGCCCCTGTGCGTCCGCACTGCCTCGGAACCTTGAATGTCACTGCAAACCGGAAGTGACCATGAGAAGCTGCATGACACCGCCACCGTGGCGCCCTCGATATCGCTTATGTAATAATGCCTTTGACGACAACCTTGGGCCGTATTTGTGCAAGCGAAACAGAATCTCAGATTTCCCCAGCTCTTTTCTAAATTTCCGACCATCTTTGCACGTTACCCCGAATGTAAGGTATTGCCACAGAACAACGAATGACATCTTCTGTGATCTTAAAAGAGAAAATACCTCACCAGATTGCTTCTCTGACTACAGACGCAAACCTGCGCACGATTGTGCGCATTTCTTCGAGCGGAAGCTTACCGACAAATTTCCTTCTTATTCAATGAGAAACTGCCGCCACTTTAACATGCCGACATTTGAGTCCGCACCATCAACGCAACGGCGGTGTCTGCTGCAAAGGAACGAGCCTCCGATGCAAGTTTCGGACCCAAACAGCGCCTCCGATATCCAACAGCAGACGTTAGCGCTTATTGGACAGGTGTTGAACACGCTGCAGGCGAATCGCAAACCAGCAGACGTCGAGATGACGGATAAGCCCTACACTTCACCAAGTTCTGACGGCGGCTCGTGCAGCAAGCCGTGCAAAGAGCGAAGACGCGCTGCCAACCCACGTAAGAAATGCAAAAGAGTGAAATCCGAATGCACGTGTAGAAGCCGCGAAAAGGACCCGCCATCTGAGCCGAGTTCACAACGAGATCAAGTGGACGCAAAGTCCAGGAATCTCGAAGTCGATTTCATAGAGGAGATCTCCGAGCAGAGCTTGCCGCGAACTCGTATGTGCACCAAGAGCTTGCAGGTGAACGTGGACGCATGCGGGAGGCAGCCCGCACAGACTTCGCCCGCTCGTCGGGCTTCATGCAGGAACGTGGGCATGGCTTCCGTGCAAACCTGCGCTTGCATATCAAAACCGTCTGGCGAGTGCCAGTGCGGTTGTCTATCGGAAAAGCTCGCGATATCCCAAAGGAAATGCCTTTGTGCTGACCGGCTCTTGATTGACCTCCCAGTAGAAACTTCCGGTTGTACTTGCAAAGTTAAAAAACACCCGTGCTTGGTGAATCGCTGCCCCAAGCAGGAGAGCCCCCCGTGCGGCCAGAACAAATGTTTAGTTGAATGTAATAAGGACAAATCGGTGCAGACCACGGTTGTTTGTCAAAAGGCCAGTTGTAACAAAAAATGTCAAATAGGCAAGTTGAATCCCGTCGCGTGCGTCAGTACCGATGTATGTGGGTCAGCTCGATTCAACGAACCGTCTTTAAGTGAATGCGGTAAAACATCGGCAACACTCAAGTGGGATCAACCGCTGAAACACAGCAAGTCTTCCGAAATGTGTGGTGACAGCGACGTCAGCGACTGCACGAGTACAGTGCACAGGTTCCCTACGGTTCAGAGGCTCACAGGCCATGGGCTATGTCAAAGAAAGTGCCCAAAGATAAATTTTCAGATTCCATCGCAGAATTATTGTGAGAAGGTCAGGCCGTGTTTACAAAATCTTTGCGGCAATATCCCGCTGCGCTCGCGCGAATGCAGCGTCAGTAAGTCACCGTGTTTTCCTATTTGCCGTGAGGATAGGAAAACTTATCAACACAATTATTGTGGCAATATCAAGTCGTGTATACAGAGACGCAGCGATAAGGTGACTCGCAGTTTTCAAAGTCTGCTGGACGATAACGTCATGCCGGTTAGGGCGGCAAGCTCTGCATTCAACAGGGATACCAGCACGGAAGAGCCGTACAACTTACCCGACTGCGGCTGCGTCCAAGAAAAATCTAAAAGACTTAGAAGTTGCAACAGCTGTGGCGCACGTCGTGACACTTCACCGCGGAAGTTCAGCTTCACGCCAGCGGAAGCGAGCAACGTGCGAAAGACGGCGTGGTGCGAATGCGACGCGCCGAAAGACGATGCCAGCGTGAACACGGGCGAAACGAACAGCAAGGTCGTCGGCGCGGATGTGGCAAGTTTACACCCGGTCGAAAAAGAGGCTGAGAAGTGTCGGCCGTTTGTTCAAATCAAGTACAAGTCCAAGAGAGTCGTGTCGGACAAGGCGGGTGATGCTCGGCAGGCTCAGCCGTGCAGTGCGAATGGGGTCAAGGGTCTGGCCGAGCAGCTGAAAGAACAGATCGACGAGATCATAAGCAGAAGCAGGGACCTCCAGCAGCAGGCCATTCAGTTCAACGTCGGAAGTTCACGTTGTTATGTTGACACAGGTGTTGATAACCGCCTCACTGGTTGTGATAACTGCCCCACTGGTTTGGATTACCGCCTCACTGGTTGTGATAACCGCCTCATTGGTTGTGATAACCGCCTCACTGGTTGTGATAAACGCCCCACTGGTTTTGATTATCGCCTCACTGGTTGTGATAACCGCCTCACTGGTTGTGATTTTCGCCTCACTGGTTATGATAACCGCACCACGGCTTCTGATAACAGAGGAACGGCTTCTGATAACAGAGGAATGGCTTTTGATAATAGAGGAACGGCTTCTGATAACAGAGGAACGGCTTCTGATAACAGAGGAACGGCTTCTGATAACCATTTCCCAAGCTTTGATAACAACACAACAGGCTTTGATAGCCGCGCCACGGGTTCATCCTATGATGCTAGAGCTAAAAATAGTCACGCGTTCCCTACCTTCGACGCCAGGACTGTTAGTGGCGGCGCAACATCTGTCGCTGGATCTGAATTCAGGATTTCAAACTCTCCAAGCTCTCCCAGAAGTGAAATTAAGATTAGAAACAGCCAAGTTGCCCCCAGCAGCCATCTTGGCACTAAAAGCAGTGGCACCCATCCTCCACAAAACAGCGTCGTGGAAGTGATCGACCCCGAATCCCTTCGCATCGGTCAAGTTCGTCCGAGTGATTTGGCCGTCTTGGCGGACAGGAAAATGACCAGCGGGGCTAGCGGCAGTCTGGTTAAGGACGGCAGTTACCGCCCCGTGGAGGGAGAGTCCACGGTGATCGACATGGGGACGCGAGGTTCGCAAGACGTCATAAGATTTCAAACTGAGCGAGAAGGCAACGAGGGCTGGTCGTTTTATGAAGTGGAAGTCAACGACCCGAAAAGCCCGCGAGAGGTTAAGAAAACCGAAAGCAGCCCCAATAAAAATTTTAACTCCAATAAGACTGGTAGCAAGGTAGACATTCAAAACATCAAACAGTTCGGAAACTATGAGTTCAAGCCCAAACTTTGTGGATCAGATAACTTCAATATATTCTCCGATGCATTCAGGAAGGATAAAATGAGCTATAGATTTCCAGGGCGAATGAAATGTCTTATGAACAAAGTCTGTCCTACGTGTAAAAAGACGTACACGATTGTACCCGGGTTCCGGCCAATAGTTCTTGGTCATTGCACGAACCTCAATGTCAGCTGGAATGCCTCATCGGGCGAAGACGCCCAAGAGAGGCGCCCCAACGGTCGAGTTAGCCGTGACGCGTCTCGAAAAAGTGTGGAGACTTTCTCTGACCAGCAGCCAGTGTCTCGCGGGGCTAATGGGATGCCGCCCAGCTTTACTGACGCACGCACCCTTGGAAACCTTAGTTCAGTAGGGCCGCAAACACCGACGCGAGGAGATTCTCGAAATAACAACAGCGGCAGAACCGTGCATTTTTCACCAGAGGGAATGCAGGGGGGAGAAAGCAGAGCAAAGAGTCAGGAACACGGGGAGGCTCCTGCTTTGAAAGAAAAGGGTGTTTCTGCAGAGGCAGAAGATGTAAAGCCAGGAGGTGGGGCAGATGGTGATGGTCTGATGTCTAGGCGCATTGCTGATTCCCCTGGCAAAATAACCTTAAACGCAAACGGCGCTATAGCGACACGAACGATACGACAGCGACCATTTCAAGAAGGGTGCAATCTAGCCGGCCACAATGGATCAAATCTAGCTCACCTTCACCTAAACATTTCACCTCTGATGCGAAATAAAAATCTGAATAGCGTTGAATATCATGAGATTTCATGCGAAGAACATGTGTCATCTAGAAATGATCATCCAAATGACATGAACGAAAGAATGCCAGACCAGGGAAAGTTACGTCACTGCAAGATGTCGTCACTACACTCAAAAGGCAAGCAAAATTGTGGGGGGTACTCAAAACATTCCCAACATGAACCTGCCAACAACGGAATTGAAGACATCAAAAGCGACCAATCAAAGATGCGTCATCCAAAACAGCAAGGCGTCTTATACACAGCCGTGGAGGAAATGTGCAGTCAATGCGAACACGACATAGAATATCAGCATGTGCTAATGAAGTGCCAGGGTATGGCGGTGCCAAAGACTGAAGACAGACACTGCCTTGCAAATTCACAGCACATTTTGAACAACAAGTTAAGAAATACTTACGCCCATAAAGCAGCTGCTAAGTGTGGAGAAACTCAGCGATTGGACAACGGAAAAACAACAACACATCGGGCCAGGCCACGGAAAACGACGATCATTGAGGATTTGAGCAACTGCGGTTCGACTACCGAATTTTGCACGAGTTATGAATGTCAACATAAACATCACGATAGCGGGAAAAACAAGCCGTCACAGTTCATGTCAGATCACTTACGTTCCAGAAGCAGGATTGTCACCGGCATAGCTAATGGCACCGGATCATCCTTTGATTCTAAACAGTTACAAAGATCTTATAGAACTCATGCGAATAGCCATAATAAAATACACCCCATGTGTTTTGATGTGGAGACCGACAACGCCATGGCGGAGACGATGTTGACAAAAGACGGGAGGGCCTCATCAAGCTCAAGAATCACGAAATCGGTTCTTGAAAATGATGTATTGCTGGTTCAACAAGCAAAGCCAGGTAACCATCATCGGACTGTTTTCGCCGAAAAAGTTCAAAAATTGGTTGTTGAAGACAACAGTGAAACGAACTCAACAACACACATGGCTCCTCGTGGGAAGATGGTGTCCGGCAGCACCAGACCGTCCCAGTCAGCCGACAGCGCCGCGTCAAGTCATGGTATTGAAGATTTACCCACGGACTCTTGGGTCAACGTAAACACTGGGCCATGCCAGGAAAATTCAACAGGTGACAGATCTAGGACGGTCCACCCGTCAATTGAGGCTCTGAATAACTACGCGTCGGAGCAGAAAGAACTCGTTCAAAGGGTATGGCGAGGGGATAAGTCTGCGGCCGGCTCTGATCACAGCACGGTCATATCTGATGATCGCGTCGTCACAGCCCGTCCATGGCGTGAATGTGTCTCGCTTGAGAAACGAGTGCGCAACATTGGCGTGCAGATTGATGAAAAGTGCAGCAATCCATCAGCTTATGGTAATCTGCCAGTCACTCGAAACTCCAGCAGCGCCGTGTCACAGAATTATACAATCACTCCCAGGAGGCGATCGGTTCAGCGCAATTCGGATCAAACAGAATTTGACGTCTCGACCAGCGGGCAGTTCGATGACACGTTGACTAGCAGTGAATACACGACTCAATTCAGTCGACCGTGGTTTCCTAAAGATGAGCTGGTCAAGTGGTGGAACTCTACCAAAGGTCAGCATGAGGGTGACCAAGACACAAAAGACCTGCATCGGGTTTCTTCGGGTTCACGGGGCGATATGAATTCATACCATGACAAAAGCATCAAGCAAATGATCATGACGGACCCACGTGTTGTTGCCTCCATATTGGGAACAAACGTCACTCGCAGGAACCGTCCTAGCTGGGTGGAATGCAAAGATTCGGCGACATTAACAGACGATATTATGAGCTACCTCCACGCGCAAAACATGCAGAATTCAACGGAAACCTACGAGATGTCTGCTGGTGTAACCTCGCTCTTATCAGCCGCCAGCACAGAAAGTGCTCATGCCTTACAAAAGTCCTCTGGGGCGGTTTCACGCAGACTCGGATGTTGGACCCATCCACCTGACGTCAGCCAACGGGGACATGCCGGGGCTCGGCATGGTGACGGCCCTTGGCGAAACGCGTTAGTGAGCTGCGGAGAACTGACCGAGGCGTCGGACGAGAGGGTTTTACTGGAAGGTGCGTTTTGCACGCCATGGTGCGCTGACAGGGGCGAGCCCTGCGACGGCGTCAGTCGCACTGCGCGGTCTGCGCCAGGGTCCCTGCCGTTCAGACTTGTCTTGTTTGCCAGGGCCGATGGGGAAACCGGGACGAAAGTCTACGGGACATTTCTGAGGCGTCTGTCACAGTCTGACAGGTCTTTTAAGTGGAAGGTGAAGATCCGTTTGCCTTGTAAGGCTGATAATGGAATTCTGTTAGTTGCCAGTGATCAAAAACAGAGGTTTTTGAAAACATAGGATTGTAGATGTCCCCCGAAAATATTGCAATAAAATCTCTGCATGATTTCGGATGATTTCTGCAGTTACCTTCTTAAACTGAACACAGAGCACTTTGCGGCCTCGTGCAACAAAAAGAAAGCATCTCCACGCTCGTATCCCAAAATTTGTTTGAAGTAAATTTCATCGACGGAAAATTGATCGACGGAAGTTTGGTGGAACGGAAATTTGATCGAATTTTATTTTCAGTTCGCACGATCAAATTTTGCGTCAAGTTTCTTTTTTGGGACGCATTTTTTTTTGTTTGACTATGCAGTGCAGTGCGATCGTGCGAACTGAACGTAAAATTCGATCAAATTTCCGTTCGACCAAACTTCCGTCGATCAATTTTCCGTCGACGAAATTTGTTTCAAACAAATTTCCGGTAACGCTCCACGCTTCATTTACATTCCACGGACTCTACCAATGTTAATCAATATTAAATGGACAGCAGTGAGAATGGTAAATGTTTATGAAACTCTAATACCCCCCTCCCCCCACCCCCAACCCAAAAATAGCAGTGAGAATGGTAAATGTTTATGAAACCCAAAACCCCCCCCCCCCCCCCCCCCAACCCAAAAAAAAAAAAAAAAAAAAAAGAACTGTAATGTAGTGCATAGTGTTAGTTGAATGAAGATTCAAGAGTTCTAAATTGAGATCATGTTTAATTGAGTCTTATGAATAGTATTTAAAGAAAGAAGAAAAAAAATTAAAAACATGGACATTTTAGTCATGTGACCTTTGAATGGGGGAACTCTTCTGGCGTATCGTCGTCATCTTAACATTTTGCAATTCAATTATTAAAAATTTTAAATAAAGAAAATTTTTAAAATATATATTTATATAAAATTTGGTCTAGCAATTATGAAATGTGAATGGCCTTATTCGGTCTTCAAAAAGTGCCTTTCTGGCGGCACTGTATTTCACAAGAAGAATTTCCAGCTGTTGACTCATAAATAGACCATAACAAACAAAGAACTCTCAAAGGTGCATTTAATAACTGATGGTGTAAAGTGTGGCAGCGTGCTAGACGTGGAGAGAAGTGTAAGAACGTTGTTGAAATGTCACTTGATCTGCTTGAGCTATCAACAAAGAAATGATACAACCGTGCATTTATTTAATTAATCAGATGCAAAAATAAAATGTTTAATTTGGCAGAGAGCCAAGTCTCGCTTTCCAATTTCTTCATAAGTTTAAGAGTAGACATTTTTGTTGTAGATTACGTTTAAGTATTTTTTTTGTTATATGTGCTAAATCTACGTTATTTGTCTTTTTATTTGAGTTTGTAAAAAAATGTGTGTTTTTTTTCAATTATAAACAAAACAATGTAACCAAAAAAAAAAAAAATCACTTTTGTGGCAAAAGGGACTTGTCGTTAATTGAATGGATAGTCAGTGCACAATTCATTTGTGCGTGTGGAAAAACTAATGTATAGGATAGAATACTGGCCCAACTACGACCTAGTCAGATAGATGTTTAGGTAAACGAAAATATCCATAGGATAGAATATTGTGCATGAATATGTCTATGGCAGGCCTGCACAACTCAAAATATAAGGTGGGCCGTAGTACTTAATGAAAACGTGTGCGGGCCAAAAGAAAATAGGACAGGGGGGAAAGCTGTTAAGGATATAATAAGAATAATGACTATTCTTCACTTCGCGGGCCCCAACCCGTGGGTCGTATGTTGTGCAGGCCTGGTCTATATGATAAAATACGGGCCCAACTGAGGCCTATTCAGATGTTTAGGTACATAAATATATCCACAGGACAGAATACTAGCCCAAATATGACCTATTCAGATGTTTAGGTACATAAATATTTCCACATGACAGAATACTGGCCCAAATATGACCTATTCAGGTGCATAGGTATCACAGGACATAAAACTGTCCAAAAAAGGACCTATTCAGATGTTAAGGTACATAAAATTATCCACAGGACAGAATACTGGCCCTAATGTGACATATTCAGATGTTTAAGTACATAAATATATCCACAGGACAGAATACTGGCCCAAAGATGACCTATTCAGATGTTTAGGTACACGAGTATATCCATAGGACAGAATACTGGCCCAAATATGACCTATTCAGATGTTTAGATACACGAATATATCAAGAGGACAGAATACTGGGCCAAATATGATCTATTCAGGTGTGTAGGTATACGAAGATAATCACAGGACGTAATACTGTTCAAAACAAAAAAAAAGACGTATACAGATGTTTAGGTACCTGAATATACACACAGGACAGGATCATTGCCAATATATGACCCATTGAATGAGTATGTTTCCCGCCATTCCCAACTTGGAGACTTGAACTCATGGAGTCCCCATTTAACTGGACAAGTTTCTTTTGGGCCCCAATTGATGTTTTTTCTCGAACGACGTGATGTTTATCCTTTAATTCAAACTATTCCATCTTTGTTTGTGTTCATACACGTCGTAATAAACGATGCACTAGACAGGCCTTGCGACGTCGTCCAACTAAAACCATTCCATCATCTCAATGAGGCGGAGGGATGCCCAAAACAAGACACAAAAGTGGGGGAGGGGGAGAGAACTAAGCAAATGTTAAATGATAGTAGTGAATTTTCTGTAAGCATGCAATAACCAAAATTATAAAAACATACAGTGTATGAACGTTTCAATTGAGTGTTCCAATGAAAAATAGAATGATACAATACAAGAATGTTTCAATTGTGTGTTCGAATGGAAATTTGAAAATTTTCAAAAACACAAATTTGAAGTAGAATAACTCATCATATAACACCGATTTTTAAAAAAGTTTTTGTTGATTTTATTCATTGAGTTTATGCGATGGAAGTGGACTTCATGCTTCCTGGCCACCAAAAATAATCTTTTTAAATTACTAGCGGCTTGAATCAATTTGACATCCGGATGCTAATAGGGCAAAGTTTCACGAACAGATTTCTCTAAAACTTGACCTACATAAGCAGGGCCCTACACCCAAGATGAAATGGTTTAAAGTAGGCGAACCCCTCACACATTTATCGTCTGAGAACCTTGTTTAGGAAAACTTATATGGCAAACATGTTTCAATTGTTTGATTGCGACATTAAAAAAAAAAAAAAAAGAGGAAAAAAAAAGACCTTTCTTGGGTAACTCTGAGATTATCCACAAATATCCGGATGCTAATAGGGCAAAGTTTCACGAACAGATTTCTCTAAAACTTGACCTACATAAACAGGGCCCTACACCCAAGATGAAATGGTTTAAAGTAGGCGAACCCCTCACACATTTATCGTCTGAGAACCTTGATTAGGAAAACTTATATGGCAAACATGTTTCAATTGTTTGATTGCGACATTAAAAAAAAAAAAAAAAAAGAGGAAAAAAAAAGACCTTTCTTGGGTAACTCTGAGATTATCCACAAATTAAAATATCGGCACCCCTTCAGCTCTGGAGTCATCCGTGAATGGGTTGTTTGGGTTGACCAAGGTG